AGTGTATTGAGGGAGAAATAAAACGGCTCCCAAGTGCATTACCACACCGGCTACATTATAGTGATACAAGGTTTTTTAGGTTCCGTAGAAACGTTAGTATAAACATCTAATTGGATGGTTGAGATTGTTATGTACAATATTATTTGTGAAGGTAGTCTAATCCTTTATTCTTTGGTTTAGAAATAAAAATTATTCTAAATCAAACAATCAAGATTACTCTACCTTCACACAATATTACTTGTAATATATTAATCACATTTATTTTTTTAAGTGCTCAACCATTACTTTTTTGCAAAAAAAACAAAAATTGCTTGGAATGATTAAAATCATGCATGGTCTACAATTATTTATTATACTTACTCCTACTAGTTAAAAGTAATTTAGTTATGTATATTTTAGCCATGTGTTGTATGAGATGTAAAATGTGCATATTTTTAATGTTATTATATATATATAAGTTCAGATGGAGATAATTAAACAATGATTGGACACGCGGTCAATGCAGGAACCAAGTGAAACGGTCAACTTCGGGAATCGAAAGGTCCTTGCTCCATCTGCTCTACACAACAGGCACAACAGAAATCGGATGATCATCAATAATGGAGAATATTAATTTATAATGACATTTATACTTACATGTGAAGGCCACGCGCTGGTCATGAGGGTGCTGACATAGAGACCACACATTGAGGACCAAGTCGCTGTCATGAGGGCCAGGGGATGGTCATGAGGGCGCCGGTCCGAAAATCCACGCAACGGTCCTCATCCATGAAGTGAGGGGATGAGGCCGGTCTTGAGACAGATGATCACGTTGAGACCAAGGGGTCTGCCGTGTCATCATATAAATGATCACGTTGAGACCGAGGGGTCTGCCGTGATGCAAGGACGTCGGCACCAGGGGGCTGATCCGGAAATCCATGCAACGGTCCTCATCCATGAGGTGAGGGGATGAGGCCGGTCTTGAGACAGATGATCACGTTGAGACCAAGGGGTCTGCCGTGTCATCATATAAATGATCACGTTGAGACCGAGGGGTCTGCCATGATGCAAGGACGTCGGCACCAGGGGGCCGATCCGGAAATCCATGCAACGGTCCTCATCCATGAGGTGAGGGGATGAGGCCGGTCTTGAGACAGATTATCACGTTGAGACCAAGGGGTCTGCCGTGTCATCATATAAATGATCACATTGAGACTGAGGGGTCTGCCGTGATGGCCATGAGGGCGATGGCATGAAGGCCACGCGCTGAGGGCTCATGAGCGGGAGCTTCCGTCTGAAGGTTAGAACATGAGGATGAAGGCGCTAGCATGAGGTCCAGGCGCTGGTCATGAGGGTGATGACATGAAGGCCATGCGCTGAGGGCTCATGACTGAAAGCTTCTGTCTGAATGTTGTAACCTGAAGATGAAGGCACTGACATGAGGGCCAGGCGCTGGTCATGAGGGCGATGGCATGAAGGCCATGCGCTAAGGGCTCATGACTGAAAGATTCCGTCTGAATGTTGTAACCTGGGGATGAAGGCACTGACATGAGGGCCAGGCGCTCGTCTTGAGGGCGATGGCATGAAAGCCACGCGCTGAGGGCTCATGACTGAGGGCTTCCATTTGGGGGTTGGAACCCGAGGAAGAAGGCGCTGGCATGAGGGCAGGCGCTCGTCATGAGGGCGGTGGCATGAAGGCCACGCGCTGAGGGCTCATGACCGAGGGCTTCCGTTTGGGGGTTGGAACCCGAGGAAGAAAGCACTGACATGAGGGCCAGACGCTGGTCATGAGGGCGGTGGCATGAAGGCCACGCGTTGAGGGCTCATGACTGAAAGCTTCCGTCTGAAGGTTGTAACCTGAAGATGAAGGCAATGGCATGAGGACCAGACGTTGGTCATGAGGGTGATGACATGAAGGCCATGCGCTGAGGGCTCGTGACCGAGGGCTTCCGTTTAGGGGTTGGAACCCGAGGAAGAAGGCACTGGCATGAGGGCCAGGCGCTGGTCATGAGGGCGGTGACATGAAGGCCACGCGCTGAGGGCTCATGACCGAAGGCTTCCGTCTAAATGTTGGAACCTGAGGATGAAGGCACTAGCATGAGGGCCAAGCGCTGGTCATGAGGGCGATGACATGAAGGCCATATGCTGAGGGCTCATGACCAAAGGCTTCCATATGAAGGTTGGAACCTGATGATGAAGGCGCTGGCATGAGGGCTAGGCGCTGGTCATGAGGGCGGTGGCATGAAGGCCACGCGCTTAGGGCTCATGACTGAAAGCTTCCGTCTGAAGGTTGTAACCTGAAGATGAAGACGCTGGCATGAGGACCAGGCGTTGGTCATGAGGGCGATGGCATGAAGGCCATGTGTTGAGGGCTCGTGACCGAGGGCTTCCATTTGGGGGTTGGAACCCGAGGAAGAAGGCACTGGCATGAGAGCGGTGGCATGAAGGCCACGCGCTGAGCGCTCATGACCGAAGGCTTCCGTCTAAATGTTGGAACCTGAGGATGAAGGCACTGGCATGAGGGCCAAGCGCTGGTCATGAGGGCGATGGCATGAAGACCATATGCTGAGGGCTCATGACCAAAGGCTTCCCGTATGAAGGTTGGGACCTGATGATGAAGGCGCTGACATGAGGGCCAGACGCTCGTCATGAGGGCGGTGGCATGAAGGCCACACGCTGAGGGCTCATGACCAAAGGCTTCCATATGAAGGTTGGAACCTGATGATGAAGGCGCTGGCATGAGGGCCAGGCACTGGTCATGAGGGCGGTGGTATGAAGGCCACACGCTGAGGGCTCATGACCAAAGGCTTCCATATGAAGGTTGGAACCTGATGATGAAGGCGCTGACATGAGGGCCAGGCGCTGGTCATGAGGGTGATGGCATGAAGGCCATATGCTGAGGGATCATGACCAAAGGCTTCCATACCTACGGTTGGAATCCCTAGACTCTTGATTTTTTTTATAAGTTTAGAATTGTCTAATTGAGAAAAAGAGTTGAAATTTTAAAAACGACACTTTTAGACATTTTTAATGTGACGAAATTATGAGTAAAATATAACATCTCACTATTAAAATTTAGAGTTAATTATGCATACCATTTAGCCAGAACTTATTCAATTTCAGCAGAATCAGTCGATTCGTACCATTTTATTGTTATCAAAAGGCCTCTATATTAAATTGAGAGGAGTTTTTTCTATTAAGTCATGTCTAGATTAACACGTATGTCTAAGCTAAGACGTCTGATTTAGTGATATTTGTATTTGCGTCTGTTTATTTTATATGCTTAATAAATAGTCTGAATCATGTAAAATAAACAATTTAGTATTATTCTTAATTTATAGTGCCAATGAAAAACTTCGTTTATTAATATAAGGGTATGTTTGGTACAACTAGCTGAAAAGATACTCTTATAAGCTTTTTAATAACTGTTGACTTTTATTGACTGAAAAGATCTTAAAAAGAAAAGGTGGTAGCTGTTTGGTAAAAAGCTGACTGTTTGATTTAGTTTGGTTTGGTATACAAGCTGTTAGGACTAATTAGTACTAAAAGTCACGAGCTTTTCTCAGATGCTACTCCCCGTAGCATCTCGAAAAAGATCTTTTAATTTTTGAAAAGCTCCTCAAAGTTGTCACGCCAAACATATAATTAGAAGCTTTTAGAGACTTTTTGAACAGTACAAAAGCTAGAAGGCAGGGATTTATGCCTGCCAAACATAGCCTAAGTCTATTCCACAATCGATTTGAAAAAATTGACAGAAAAATGTCTCAATAGACCCCTTAATGAGAAGGACTGCTATTATCCAGCTTAACGATTAATTTAGTTTTTTGACTAAAATTATTAAGTCATACTTCCAATTAATTCATAAGTAAATATTACTTAATGACTGAATGATTAAGTGGTCAATTGTCATTAAATCTATTTAGTCGAAATTAAAATTAGCTAAATTACGTAGTGCCCGTGCATCGCACGGGCTTGAAAGTTGAAACTAGTACGAAGTAATAAAATAAAGAAAAAATTATATAAAATATTTTTTATAGGTTACATGGATTACTTCCTTTTCCGTTGAAGCATATTTTTCTTGTTCTCTAAGAATTGGACAAAACACATCGGCCAATAAATTCTCCGTTCTATCAACCGCTACTATCAATGGAGCTTTTTTCCTTTCAGGAATTGCAATGTTCTGCAGCTTCTACCTGAACGGTTTTAGCTCAAATTTGATGAGTACATTTCCTTAGCATCGATCACTATGGTTGCTTAGCCACAAGGCCCACAAGTACATTTCCTTAATTTTTTGGTTCATCTCTTCAAGCTTGTTCCTAACATCATGCCGTTTATTTCGTCTTGTGGATAGAAATTCTCTTATGCTTAGTACGGAGTAGTATTCATGAACAGCAGCATCAAAACCTGTCAGTCATGCTGCCATTTTGCTCACTCGGTCACCTTCCAAAGTAAGTAACGTAGGATCATCTATGCAGGCAACGACTCTTCTTGCAACATCCGAATCCCAACAAATTACTGACATATCTACGAAAGCTGCAATCACATACCATTACATTTTAAGTTTAGTTAGCTTACCATTCAAGAGAAGAAAGAATTGACGGTGTACAGAGATAAAGCGACGAAACAAGTTCAAATTACATGAAATACAGACTGACAAAATATGTTCTTAGGATTCTATTCAAAATATGTTCTTTATATACAGTTAGGACTCTAAATTAATATGAAGTTCAAATATTTACTTAGGTGATGGACTGATCGCAATAAGAAACTTACAGCCCATGATAGGTAGGGGAATTCCTGGACCACACTGTGGGGGTCTCCGGTACCAAGCCGATTCCCGGTTTAGTCAAGAAACTTGAGCTAAGCAAGAAAAATAGGCAAATAGATAATCAGAGTATAGTTGGTCATTTTTTTATTTCAACTTTTTCCCTGGATCTCATTCTTTTTTGTCTAATTACACATAGATTAGTCCACACATATTCCAGAAAATAAATAAAAAATACATACTTCAGTCGTAAATGGGCGATTCAAAAAGTATTCATGTGTTCTCATGTGTGTAGACATATCAAAGGATTGAAATCCCTATTAAGGATGGACAGCGGAGACGTCGGTGATGAACAGTAGAGATGTGAAGTAATTCTAGGCTGAAAGATGGAAAACAATTGTATTGCTTTTCTCTAAGCAGTGATAGCTTCTATTTTTTTTATATCATAGCTTCTATTTTGAAATTAGAACACAAATAAGCTCTTTCTTTTTTGAAAATAAGCAACAACATGAGACTAAAGAAGGATGGCAGATTTAGTTACCTTTTGCATAATCGTAAATATAGTAGTAGATTTAGTTACCTTTTGCATAATCGTAATCAGATTTAGTTACCTTTTGCATAAGCTCAGACATGCTTCCACCGATTGATTCCACCTCGAAAGGACCACAGACATCGGAGTGTACCAAACTTAACAACTTCGATCTTTTAGTTGAAGTAGAACTAAATGATACTCTATGTTGCTTACCAAACAAACAATGACTGCAAGGAGCCAGTGCAGCGTTCTTGTCGATGTTGATAAGGTTCTTCTTCATCAAGGTAGTCAACCCTTTCTCACCGATGTGGCCGAGTCTCAGGTGCCACATATTCTGAGAAGTCTCCTCAGCAATATTGAGGCTATCCGTACAAATCCTCAAATGGGTTTTGTACAATGTGCCAGAAACATGTCCTCGAGCGATTGTCAAAACGCCCTTTGACATTTTCCAGGTGCCCCTGTTAAAGTGGTTTTAATAACCATGTTCGTCAAGACATACCACTGACAGGAGATTGAGTCAAAGGTCTGGAACATGTCTGACATCCTTCAAAGTGATTGTGCTCCCAGTACTTGTCTTTATTTGTACATCACCAATTCCAGCTATTCCAGAGGAACTGGAATTGCCCATCTTCACTGCTCCAAAGTCTCCAGCTTTGTAAGTTGTGAAGTAGTACCTGTGGGGAGTAATATGGTAGGATGCTGCAGTATCTACCACCCATTCAGTGTCCTCTCTTGAGACGTGAAGGCATGTGTCATCATTGATAGTACAATACGCCACATCACCTGAGATTGTGATGAGCGCTTCACCACCCTTGTTCTTCGCTTGAGAATTGCTCTTGCCTCGCTCCTCTAGCAATTTGTAGCAATTCTTCTTCATGTAACCCTCTATACCGCAATGGTGGCAGGTATAAGAAGGTTTCCAGCCATCTAATGATCTCCCCCGACTTTTGCTTCTGCTTTGCCATTTCCCTCTACTGTTTCTTTGTTGTTTTCTTGTGATCTTCCTCTATTCTCTGTCACAAGGGCATGAGTCTCATATGTGCTCATGTCTTTCCTTCTTGCCTCCTCATTGAACAATGCATCCTTGACCACAGACATGGTAAGTTTGTCATCTGGGGCGGCTGAGTTGCTGAGAGTAACAACTAGTGTCTGCCAACTATCAGGAAGGGAACTAAGAAGTAGTAGAGATTGCATTTCATCTCCAAGTGGCATTTCTACACAAGATAGTTGATTTACCAGACTCTGAAATTGACTAGTATGTTCAGCAACAGAAGTTCCACTTTTGAGCTTCATATTCACAAGACGCCTCATCAGTAAGGCCTTGTTCCTAGCGGTCTTGGCCTGGTACATATCTTCTAACTTCTTCCAAAGGGCATAAGCGTCGGTCTCTTGTGCAACATGGTGGAAGACACTATGGTCAATCCATTGTCGGATTTGACCAATAGTTTTTCTATTAATTTTCTTCCACTCCGTTGAGTTGGCCGGGTCAGGATTAATACCTTTCATCTCTATTGGATCAAAAAGGTCTTTACAGCTAAGGAAATCTTCCATCCGAGATTTCCATAGTGTGTAGTTGGTAGCCGTGAGCATAATCATAGCTCCGGAAGATGAAGTTGACTCGTCAAAGGTCATTTTCACCTTTTAAATAATTTAAATTTTCTGTTTCAGAAAAATTGGAGCAAAATTTCGAAAAACGGGCAGCACCGTTGCGTCCGGAACGGCCGAAAATGGTGGGTAGGCACTTGTTCTGGGACTGCACATGTGTTGCTGACGTGTCGCTGACGCAGCTCTGACTGGCTGATGACGTCAGCGATGACGTCAGCCGTCTTCTACTCTGGACTGCGCGTGATGACGTCAGCGATGACGCAGGCAGTTTTTGGTCGGCGTTTGGCGGCGCGTACGGCAGCTTCTGGTGGCCAAAAAATTCCCCAAAAATACCAGTTTTCTCGTATCGACGAGACGAATCCAACGGTATATTCAGATTGCAATTCCGAGCAATACTGAAAATCTCGATTTTCCAGACGGTAGAATTTTATCTGAAAAAATCTGGGAAAAATATCGAAAGCTCAACCAGGCTCTGATACCACTTGTTGGGAATAACAGGATTGTGCTAATATGAGAGAAAAACACTTCTATTACTTTCAAGAATAGAAAGAAGAGACATACAACTTCTAACTAAAAACTCTCAAAAACAACACCTCACATGTCTCTCAAGGATATTCACAACTCTTCTTGGTTGTACTATGATGATCTATTCTAATTTACTTGATGATAGAAAGACTCTCAGCTCCGAGCTCTCTATTTATAGCACCAAATCAAGGTAGTATGAAGGTGGAAGCAAGCTTCAATGGTGGTTGGAAGGAAGGTCACTCCTAGGTGTATGGAAGCTCCCTTTGTCATTCTTGCACATGGAGGAAACTTCAGGAAAATTAGAAATTGAATTCTTCAACATACACCAAATACAAAATAATAATAATAACAATAACAAACAAAAAGTGTAGATATACATAGTAATAAATACGAAACCAACACTGCATTGCATAAAAAGTGAAAATGATTTTTTTATTTAATTTTTTATGTAAAACATGGAAACTCTCGAGGTGTGTGTTTGCATTCAACTATGAAGGAATTCTCCGGAAAATCACAATCACCTTTAATTTTCTTCTACAAAAAGATTTAGTTTCTTGTTTCACATTTCCTGACCACGTTTTCACGGAACATGTTTTTCTCATTGAACTTTTAATTAGTTTTTGCGACCCAAAATGAATCTAATTTTTATTTTATTATCCAAAGAAACAACTTTAAAAAGTATTCAAACGTCTTCACATCTGGTCAGATCACATTTCACCAAAATTTGGTTTAAGATTTTCTATAAAACAAATACTATCATATATTTTTTCACTACATATATCTAAGAAAAGGAGTTACTTCAAAACCATTATTTTGGTAGTGTTGAAAGCAATGTCTTAAAATATGGACACAGTTAGTTTTCTTATTTATTTGGAAGAGGAAAACAGTGAGTCAGTGACAAACATGTTGGGGCAGAATATGAACGTCAGGGAGGCAGCATATACTTACTGTGAGTACTTGGTTTCCTGTGATTATTACAAATAGAAACAAGATAATTAAGCTATCATCCCACTTGGTTTCCAAGTGGGATTACTGTTATAAGAATTATAGGAATTACCTTTCCAGAAAATCTAGAAGAAGGGTTCAAAGCTTCTGACAACTGAGAATCTCGCTTAGACTCTTCCAAAACCTTCAATTCACCCAGATCAACCCAAAATAGAAGCCGTTCATAGCCTAAAATGAAAATCTAGTCTAGAGATAGAAGGATGAAATAGAAAGAAAATGAGAGAGGTAACGAGAGAGGAAGATAATACTCCGTAAGTGTATTGAGGGAGGAAATAAAACGGCTCCCAAGTGATTACCACACCGGCTACATTATAATGATGCAAGGTTTTTTAAGTTCCGTAGAAACGTTAGTATGAACATCTAATTGGATTGTTGAGATTGTTATGTACAATATTATTTGTGAAGGTAGTCTATTCCCTTATTCTTTGGTTTAGAAATAAAAATTATTCTAAGTCAAACAATAAGGATTACTCTACCTTCACCCATACTAGTATATCACCCGTGCGATTCACGGTATGAAATTTTTTTCAAAATAATTATAAATCACTTATAAAAATGTAATATAAAAATGTAACATAGTGATAAACTGATAGCAAATTGTGACCATAGTAAAAATGAGATAATGTGATTCTATAAATAAATCAATAAGTGAAAATTGTGTAATAAATTGTAATGTACAATGATAGCGCAACACAAAATATGCAAAAAACTTAAAAAATTGTACAATTATAAGATCGATTTTTAAAGAAGATTAAAGGAATGTTTACTATTTTTTCTATCAAGTCCAATCTAGATTAAGGTGTCTACCTATATTAACATGTCTCTTTGGATTAAGTTGTACGTACTATCTCCGTCCTAATAGAATTTGTACTCTTTTAAATTATGTGAGATATAAGAATAATAAAAAGCGTATGGTTGAAATTTGTGTAGATGAGAGAGAAATAGACAAAATTACAATATAGTTATTTTAATATGAAAGTCGCAAAGTTTTTTGGGATATTCAAAAATGGAAAGTCTGCAAAGTCGAATGGGGCGGAGAGAGTATTTGTTTATGAAGCTTTTTATTTTCTGTGCTGAATATATTGTCTGAATTGCATAAAATAGTCAGTTTAGTATTATTCTTGAGTTGTAAAGCAAATAAAAAAATCATTTAATCACATAAATTTATTCCATAACTGATTAAAAAATTAACAGAAAATCCTCATAAACGTCTTAATGAAAAGGGGTATTTTATTTTAGTTTAATGATTTTGTCAGTTTTCTGATTGAGAGGCCGTTTGGCAACACTGTTTTTCGACTTGTCAGAATTTAGCCAAGTTTTTTGTCCCGCTCGGTGAATTGTCTAATAAGTAAGAAAAAGTAAGGTTAGAATTACTTTTCTAGCTGTATTAGCTGAAGTTGCTGTAGATGACCATTTTAGATATTTTTACGTATATATTTTTCTTTATTTTATTAATATATTTTTTTTAAATCAACAAAATCAGCCAATGCAGCCTTTTCAGCCAGAATTTCATAAATTTCAGCAAAATCAATTAAATCAGCCGATTTTTACGTGCTACCAAACGGGCTCTGAATGATTGATTTGTACTTTCAATTAAGTTGTAAGTAACATGACTTAATGGTTAAATGATTAAATCACTGTTATAAGTCTACTAAGTCAAAAGTAAACTTGATTAAATGATTAAAGTAAACCACCTCTAAAACTTGATAAGAACTATATGTAACAATTTGTCGTATAGGCTATAGCCCATTCTATTGGTCTTGTTCGCCTAGCAAACTATCCAATCTATATCTGAAAATCAAAATATAAAATTTAAAATGTTAAATTTATATTTAAACCGTGAAAATATTAAAAAGAATATTGAAGAAATATATAATTCAAAAGAACACTGAGAAATTTTAGATCTCCCATTTTTAACTCTTTTTTTTTCTTTTCTAAATGCTTTCAATTTTTATCATTTTATATTTGCTTAAATGACATGCGATATGAAGTAAGGATGTTTTCTTTTGGACTAAATTTGCTGGTCCGATCTGATCTGGTAAACGTCTGGTATCTCTGTATTTTATAACTACAGAAGTCTTGCCTGGTCTGGTCTGGTCTGATCGGGTCTGGGAATGAAAATAGTCCAAAAGAAAACATTCTAAGTAGACTTCCTGCCACTTTTTATGAACTTATATTTTATAAATTTAAAACAAAATCCAAGTATGACTAAAATCTACATGAATAAATATAACACTTACGGAGTATAAATTTAAAACAAAATCCCAGTATGATTAAAGGAGTGTTTGCAGTTGATTAAAAAAAGCACTTTTCAGCTTTTGGCTTAAAAAAAGTTAAAAAGAGTGTTTTCAAATGACAGCTTCTGCTTAAATTAATCACTTAAAAGCTAAAAGCTGGAAGCAGGTGGAAGGGTGCTTTAAACTGCTTTTCATTTTTTCTATTACACAAAAAGTACTTATTTTACCAAACACTACCAACTTTTACTATTAATCACTTTTCCCCAAATCACTTAAAAAAAATCACTTTTTTAAAGTTGAAGCAATTGCAAACACTCTCTAAGGCTTTGTTTGCAACACTTCTGCTAAAATAAAAGCACTTTTGGGGAAAAATGATTAGTAGTAAAAGTTGGTAGTGTTTGGTAAAATAAGTGCTTTTTGTGTAATAGAAAAAGTAAAAAGTAAATTCTACACGGAAGCCGACAAAGTAAAAGTTGGTAGTGTTTGATAAAATAAGTCCATCTAGCTAGGAGATATGTGAAGCCGGCAGCTCATTAGAATTTAAATAATAGAAACAAAAAAGAAAAATTAAAAGAGTCCAGAAAGTCTTCCATATCTATTCCTCACAGCCCTCACCCCTTAGCACCCAATTGCTTCAAAATTTTGGTGTTGGCCGTAGAATTTACCCACAAATGTTCGTGCTGGCCTGCCGTAGATGCCCCTGAGGTCCTTCCTTGTCGCGTTAAGCTGCAGGAGAGCAGGTATTGTAGATGAGATCTCCTCCACACTGCCGTTGATGCTCTGCCATCGCGTGGTAGCCGCAGGCACCTGCGTTAGAATCCCTGCAGTCAACGACGATCTTGGTTGCCTCCTAGAGATCCCTCCGTTGATAGAACCATCACCGCAGATCCCCTTTGGTGCCTGGTCAGTCTCTGCCTCAGATTTGGAACGCAGATTCCCTGGTAAGAACGCGGTGAGGGTGCCTGATAAGTCCGTATTTAGACACGTATTTGATGCGTGTTGGGATTGGATTTTGATGGTTTTCCTAGATTTAAGTTGTTGCAAGTCTTAATTTTAGCTCAAGTTATGTTTAACATGCGTTGGTTCAAGTTTTGTTGCATTTGGAGTCAAAATGAGGAATTTAGAGTTGAACATCGGCACTTGAGGAGCAATCGGGATGATTCGAGATGCATTCGAGAGTGGATTGAGAGCTTTGGAGGTCACCGAGAGGTTCACGATGAAGATTTGATGACAAAATAGCTCTAGGATTGGCTATGGGATCAAAAGAAGAACAATGAAGCTGGAAAAACGACGATCAGGATGACCTTTGGTCAATCGTTCAAGCATATCTCTTTGTAGAAGCATCCACAGGACACGATTCAAGTTGCATATGAAAGCCAACTTCAAGGGCTACAAATCATATGAAGACACCATTACGAGAATATGAGAGAAAGAAGGTGAAAACAGACGATGAAGTCAGATGATCTCTGTTGCGATTTCAGAATGACACCTTCCACCATTTTGGTCATATCTCTTGATTGGATGATTCAAATCACATTCGGCAAGTTGGGGTGGATAGAGGACTTCATTGTCTACAACTTTCATGAAGGAAGTTTTGTCAAATTCGGACTAGAAAAAAGGCTGAAGAGCACGGACGCACGACCGTGCGTAAAAGGACGCACGATCGTGCGTAAGAGCCAAAAACGCGGCAACAATTCTGCCTGCTACGCACGATCGTGCGTGGCAAGGTACGCACGATCGTGCGTACACCCGAGACGCGGATTTCAGCCCTTTTTTAGTCCCAGTTCAGCCCAAACTCATCTGTTTTCTATAAATAAGACCCCCATACCCATATTTTGACGTGACGAACATTACGGAGAGGCCTAGGGACGAATTTACTTGCGTTTTTACGATTGTTTACTCCAAGACCCTGGGATTATTTGTAAGTTCATCTTTTTAATTAATGACAATTATTTCTATTCATCCCAATTCTGTTGATTCTTCAATTATGAATTGTGAGTAGTTTAATTAGGGATTTGGGGTTGATGAAGGGGTTAATCATGATTGATGGCTAGATTCTTGTCGGTTTAATTGCATGAATGCCATCTAATTTGTGTTTTAATAATTTAACTGATATCTTTTGTAACCTGGAACCGCGGCTAGAATTACAATTGCTTGTAGAATAAATTAAGAGAGATCTAGTTTATTCTAGGACACATTCACACACACTTAATCGTTCGCTAAGAGATTAGTAGCGATTAAGGGGCCGTAAGCTCGCTCGTCTTGGCAATAATTTAGGATCCTGTCGCATGAGAGATCAGCCTGGTCCCCTAAATTATTGTACTCTACGCCGCGAGAGCGGTAAGAACTTAGTAATGATTAGCTAGGCTCAATTAAATTAAATTCATGTAATTAGGCCTGATCTGCCAGAAATCTGGTTACCCCGGAATCAATCCCTGTTCCCTTCGTCATTAATTGAGAAGAAACCACTTTTATTTTAATCGTTCATTCGCATTAGTTTAATTTTTATTCAACCAACCAATCTCGCACGACGCATTTTTATTTATTTATTTTTAATCGCTGAATTTAGTTAATTCTTAATTCCCTTTTGTCCGTCCCTGTGGAGACGATACTCGTACTTACACCACTATTTTACAATCTTTTTAAGTGCGAGAAAACTCACATCAGTTTTTGGCGCCGCTGCCGGGGACGGTGTCGGTTTTAAGGGTTAATTAATTTCAGCGAGATTTTTTTTTAGTTAGTTTTTTTTTAGTTCTTCGTAGGATTTTTTCTGTGCTAACCTTTCAGGTTTTTTTTTTTCAAAGAGGCATGAGATGAACCCATTCAGCCAAATTCCTGGAGGAAGTCCTTTTCCCCAAACCTCCATGGAATATTCAACATATACACCATACCCTCCTTACACTCCTCCT